AAGCTGATGTGGAGCCATACACCACATTCTAATAATCCCTGGTGTTTAAGACCCCTGAAGAGCTGGACTACAATCTCATCTGAGACTACTGACCCCCTGCCTCCTGAGGCTGCAGACACCTGTTCAAGATCCTCTTAGCAATCCAACATCCATGTCGTTGCCCCATGGTTCCCTCAGCCAGGGACCCCATTCACTGGTGAAATTCTTCCTACCCTTTAAGACCCGGATCAAGGGCCATCTCTACTGTCTAGCCCACTTCTCACACCTTGGGGTTTCACCTCTGAGCACCCACCACATCCTGTATGCCTTTCCCTAAAGCATAGAGCCATTCTGCTCTTTGGTTGCTCGTTGTTATGGACTGACTTATGTACACGCCCCCTTCATATGTTGCAACCCTAACCCCCAGTGTTTCAGAATGTGACAAGGGACATTATGTCTTTGGAGGTATGACCTGTAAAGCAGTGATTAAGGTGAAATGAGGCCATTACGGTGGGTTCTAATCCAATCTGACTGGTGTCCTTGTAAGCAGAGGAGATTAGGACACAGAGACATCAGGGCATGCACAGGGGAAAGACCAAGTAAGGACACAGGGAGAAGGTGGCCATCTGCAGGCCAAGGAGAGAGACCTCGGAAAAAATCAAACCTGCTGACACCTTGATCTTGGACTTCCAGCCTCCAGAACTGTGAGAAAAGAAGCATCTTTGTCTAAGCTGCCCGGCCTGTGGTTCTTTGTTACAGAAGCCCGAGCTGGCTAATGGACTCATGAGCAGGCCCTCTCCCCTGAGACATAGTCTAGGTGGGGCTCCCTGGTCTGGCCAACAAAAGCACTGCTGCCCTTGGCCGCTGTGATTGGTTTGGGATGGACACATGACCCAGAGTCAAGCCCTGCTAGCTGATCCAGTCGGGATGAACCTTAGGACTTCTGTAGGGGTCCCCAAAGAAAGGCTAATGATCTTTCTTGCAAATTTAGAACCTGGAAGTTGTGGTTCTGGCACTTTCAGAGCCATCCCGCCACCCCAAGAAGCAGGTCTGGGGTTGGCAGAAGCCATTCCAAAAGTCAGCACCATCCCTGTCATTTGCAATGACTTAAGCAGACATAAATGCCCCTTTTTGCCTGAGAGGGCTTGGACTGGGTTTCAGTTTCTAGCATCCGAGAGGGCTTTGTCTGGTACATGTCCATGGCCTTCTCCTGAGATCTAGACAGTAAAATCTAGAACATTCAGGAGGGGAGACAGAGCCATGAAACACAGAGCCGGAGACAAAGATCGGAGGCTGAGGAGGCAGTAGAAGGTGAGCATTTGGGTCTCAGCATGAGATGGATAACTATGCCAAGGGCAGCTGCCCACCACCCCAATGTCAACTTTCCCCTTCCTCCTCAGTCACAGACCCTGAGCTGGTCTCAGAGCTACTCTGAATAAATGACTAGACTTCCCAGCTTCCCTTGCAGCTAGGTGAGGTTATGTGACTGAATTCTGGCCAATGAAATGTAAGTAGAAGTATGGGGTTGGGGGATCGGGGTGGCGGGGGGCGATGTTTCCTGCCATCCAGAGTGTGGCCTTGATGGCCAGGGCTCCTCCCAAACTCAAAGACTACACTCTTGATGCCTCACCTACAAGGCAGCCTTGCTGGTTGGTCATTGCCAGGAAGAGGCAATCCTATGAGGGCAAGAGCACTGAGGGCACTGAGGAAGAGCCTGGGAGCCGAAATCTGAGGCTTGCTTCTTGGTGTCCTCAAGAGGATATGTTTACACATGAGGAAACCAAGGCTCAGAGGGCAAGTGACTTCTCAGACCCTTGGGGGTCTCATCTGCACCTCCTCGTCCTCGGCTCTATCACCACCACCTTTCAGGTTCCGGGCCTCCTTCCTAACTGGCCTTCAGGTCATCAGTCCCCCTTCATCCTCAGCATCACCTCCAAGGCAGATCTGCACTGCTATCTCTCAGGCCATAGCCAGTGTCACCGACTGGCCCCTGGCCCCTCCATAGTTCATTCTATTCCCGGCAGCTAGAGCAAGGCTGCTAGATCCAAAGTCAGATCCTGTCATTCCCTTGCTCTCCATTCACTGGAGGAAAACCCAAATCCCTGACTTGGCCTGACAGATGTCACACTGTCCAGCGCCTGGCTTCTTCTCTGACCTCTGAGACTTCCTCTCCCCCTGCTTGCTGTACTCCGGCTACACCAGCCCTCTCACTGGTCCTCAAACTGCCAAACACGTTCCTGCCTGGGGGGCCTTTGCACATCCATCCTCTTTGCATGCCCTTCCCCAGACATGCCCGTGGTTCACCTCCCTTATGAATCCAGAGGCCTTCCTTGACCAAACAGGCTGCAACAGCAGCCTCCAGCCATGGTGGGCACTCAGTAAATATTTGGTGAATGTATAGTTAATGAATGACATAAATAAACAAATGAATTTTATAGCCACCCTTTAATGAGCCTTCCAAAATTACTATTAGGCTGGATCATATGATGTTGCCATTTTTGCAGGTCAAAAATCATTAAATAGTGGCTGTTTCATACAGTATGACCTTACTTTGGCAGCTAGGCCTTTGCTCAAAATTCTCCAATTGCTCCCACCACCTAGTTTGAGTTCAAACTGCTCAGATTGATGCCATACACCTCCTGGCCCTGGCTCCCACTCACTTCCAGGCCTGTGGACCTGTTGCCCTAGCATTGCTATGCCCCGGGTTTTCTTAGGCTCCTCTCTTTGCTTGGATTCCCTGAGGCCACTCGACGTGCAATAGATTCCCTCGATTCTACAACTCTGGTCAGCTGGGAGGGCTGCTGGACAACAGGGGCTCCTGGCCCCATAGCCCTCCACTGCACCCCAGCACGCACTATTATAATGCCAGGCTATGGGCTCATTCTCCAAGGCTGCATGCAGGCTGTTCCAAGGTTGCATCAACCCAGTCCTAGGACACCCTGTCACTCACTTTCATTGACCTCTAACCAGTCCCTTCTGAGCCTGTTTCCTCATCTGTAACATCTCATATGTCAGCAACATACAAGTTTAAAGTAATGCCAGAGCCCAGGCCTGGATCCCACGGACAGGGGACTGGGGATGTGAGCAAGAGAAGGCAGAAGAACCACGGGTGCCAACAGAAGGCTCACAAGATGGGAATTTCAGGACCTAAATTGGACTCGGCGTTGATGCCACCTGCCCGTGTGAGCCAGGGCAGCCCCGCCCTCTCTCTGGGCCCCCATTCTCCACCTGAAAAGTCAGCCCCGAGGCTAGAAGAGGGAGAAGGAAGGGCAGGTGGTACAAGACAAAATTCTAACCACGAAGATGTCAGAAAGGGCATGCATGTGAAGAGAAGTTCTATAGAGGAGGCTGTCTCGCCCCCTGCCAACCTCACCATGAAGCTGGGGTCTGTCCCCCTCAGGCGTGAGTAAGCAAATGCCTACAGAAGATGGTGACCAAACAAGACCTGCTCAGGACCGAGATGACCAAGAAGGAGGAAGGAAACATCCAGTGATGAGAGTGACGGGGAGCCCCAACTCTCATGGAGCTGGCATTCCCAAGGGGTGAAGAATGAGTCACAGTGCCAAGTGCTTGGCTGATGGGCTGGAGCTTCGTGATAGGAGGGGGATTTAGACCCAGGTGATCAAGGGAGGCCCAGAGGCCCGAAGGCCGTGAGGGAGAGATGTGCACAGAGAACGGGGGACTCTGGGGTGCTGACTGTGAGAAAGGATCTGAGGCAGAAGGAATGTGCAGTGCTGGGGCCCCAGGGCGGGACCCAGCCTGGTGTGTTTGGGAAAAAGGACAAGCCTGGGTGGGCAGGGGGGAGGGGGAAGATGGGAGCAGATGGGGGCAGAGGTCAGCAGCACTTTAAAAATGAGAGGAAGCCTCCACGGAGTTTTAAGCAGGGAAATGACATGATCTGATTTTCATTTACAAAGGAGGACCCTGCCTGCAGGAAGGTCTGCAGAATAGCCAGGGGGCAGCAGGATGATGGGGGCACCAGGGAGCCCAGAGGCGCCAGCTGTGTGACCTGAGGGGGAGGAAGTAAGGAGACATGGAGAAATGGCTGGATTTGGGGTGGATCTTTTCAATATCCACTGAATTTACTGATGCTGGGGCTGAGGGAGAGAGAGAACTCAGGGGTGCTTTTAGAGCAGTTCAGCAGGCCGGGTGAACCACTCCAGCCCAAAGAGACCTGAGGCAGACTTATTTTCAGGGAAGTTCACAGCTTGGCAGCAAGCATGCAGACTTCCTGGCCCCCCAGTCCACACGCACACAAGCAGGACACATATCATGGCCTTTTCCACAAATATTGAGGCCTCCCAATGACCAACCCCCTTTCCACCAGGTTTTCCTCACAGTTGCTTTGCAAACCAAAAGTGTGACCTGATACTTTGTGCATGTCTGTGTGTCTATCTCTGGGTGTGCACGCACACACACACACACGCGCGCATGCACACACACACAAACACACACGGACGCACGCCCGTGTATGCATGTCCGAGCAACACACAATGCCTACAAAACAGGGGTTGCCAATTCAAATGCCCACAGTGGCCTGGTGAGTCATAAAAGGGGACTGGGCGATAAGAGAGAGCGGTGGGGACTGTGGCAGTGGCTCCATCTTAAAGGAAGTTTCATTCTCAGCTTGACCCCACTATAACTATGTAGGCACATATGAAAGTTACGAGTAGATCTGCCCATTTTTAAAAAGAAGCCAAAAATTCATACTTTTAGGTATAAATGCTATTTTTTTTAATTGGACTTCAATTTAAGAAACATCAGTGCTATATCAGCCAATTAGCATTTAGGCCACTGGTTGCTGATTTTCAACCTTGCCATAAATGGTTGGAGTGGTCTGGATTTGAATTAGAGATCTGACCCTCCCCAGGAGAACTGATTCAAGTCATGACACCTGCAGATCCCATACAGGGGAGCATTCCAGCATGGGGCAGGTGAGAGGGTCACAGAGGGATCCTGAGGGTATTCTGGTCTCCCATAGCCTCTAAGACCTTGTGTAAGTTGTCCGGGTGAGCACATACCCACTTTGAGCTCCTTCCCGAAGACGGTGCGCTCCCCCAGTGCGGAGCAGTTCCAGCGGCCATTGCGGAACTGAAACTGACACTCGTCGAGGCCCATTTGTGAGCCTTCTCCTATGACGATGATGGCGTCGGGTCGGCTCTGGCAGATCGCCCGCTGTCTGGGAGCCAGGCCTGGGATCTTGTTACAGATGATGCTCGCGCCCAGAGCTACCACCGAGGAGAAGCCACTGGAGCAGGGGACACAGAGAAATGGAGTGTTAGTCCAGCAAGGTGGGGGGCATGGCCTACAGGCCCTCCCAGGGTGTCTGATGCTGTTGTCCCTACTCCCCCAATACCCCTACCCCCCTGTTGCTCCCAGCAGAGGTCTCCCAACTTTTTTGATACTGCACCCCAAACCCACATTTATTCATTTTGTATTCCATATCAGTACTTGTGTGGTACGTATATTCAATATTAGTGAGCCTTGATTTTCTTTTAAGATACACACAAAAAAGATGACATATGTCACAAATACAACATTTTGCACAAAGCAAGTTGCCTTCGGATTTATGGTAGAGTTCAACTGAGATGAAATATTAAATCATGCAAACTAAAACCCAATATTGTTTAGGAATCGTGTCTATGTGATAACTCTGCAAAGGCAAGCAAGGGGATGAGAACCCCAAAGTTTCCTGCAGCAGTTGCCATGAAAGGTTGTGGGTACATGTTAAAAAAAAAACAAACCGCAACTGCTTCTACATGTTATATATACTCTCTGGTATGTATGTATATGTTGTTTTACAAACAAAATCTTTGAAAAGTAATTGTAAATAGAAGGTCTAGTATTTTCTCTCTGCGTGCCAATGGAGCGTGTGTACCCCACTCCAGAAATGACCAGGCTAGAGGATGCCTCTCACTCTTCATATGGTTCCTACCTTCCTAATTCATTCTCTGTGCAGATACGTACTGGACACCTATCAGGTGCCAGGCACCATGCTGGGAGAGAGGCAAGGGCCTGCCCTCCAGGAGCTCTGGAGGGAGACTACACCCATTTCACAAATGAATAATAGACCATTCCAGACAGTGGTGGGCACTATGAGGAAGGTAAGTGAAGAGGCCATAAATGAAGAAGGTGGGCTTGGGAAGGAAGAGAGAGAGGCCACTTTAGCTGGGGTGGTTAAGGATGGGAGGTGCTGTGCGGCAGGGCCTGAATGGCTAGGAGCCAGTCGTGGGCAGGTCTGGGGGAGAGTAATCTGGGCAGAGGGAACAGCAGATGCCAAGTTCTCGGGGGTGGGGGGGGCAGCAACCTTGGGATCGCCAAGGAACAGAAAAATCCCACAGAAGCTGGTGCAGGGCTCAGGGAGGGAGAGGGTCTGAGGAGAGAACCTGGTTGAGGGCTAGAATTTTCTCAAGTGCATCAGGGAGCACTGAAAGGCTGTAAGCAGGAAACTGACAGGATCCCATCCCGCCAGCCCCATGGGAGAGAGGAATGTGGGGCGCCAGAGCAGGAGCAGGGAGAAGGGACAGGCAAGAGGGGGTGGTGGCTTGGCCTTGGCAGCAGGAGGGGTGGCAGCGGATGGAGCTGACCAAACTTGCTGATGGACTGATAGAAGGGTGGAGCTGAGGGGAGGGATGGGGAAGGGTATGAGGGAAAGACAGGCGTCAGTGTGACTCCTGGGTATCTGGCCGAGGGTGGGGCCATTTCCTAATATCAAGATAACCCCAAACAAGCTCCAGTGGCAACCCTGATGGTTCAGGTAGCCCTCCCTTTACACAAAGATGGTCCACACATCTGGAGCTTTTAAAGAGAAGACCTCACCCCTGATGCCTCACTCTGGTTATTATAATAAGAGCTTCCATTTACTGAAGGTCACAACCAGCCCTGGGCAAAGTGCCTCACACTTTCCATCCTGGGACTCAGCTACAGGAAGTTGTTCTGGAATGGGAATTTCTTAAAGCAAGGCTCTGTGTACCAACAGTGCAGGAGACGAGGTGACCCCACTGCTCTCCAAGCACATTACTGACCGGTCCTACCCTCTTTCCCTCCACTCCTGCCTCACACCAGCCCTCTTCCTGCCTCCGGCCCTTTGTCCTTACTGGTCCCTTCCCTGGGATCTCTCTCCTCCCATGAGCTTCACAGGCTTGGCTTCTTGCCATCATTCCTGTGACTCCATGGGGCATCTTCCTTGACCACCCCAGCTAAGGGAACCTGCCTCCCATCACACCCCTCATAACTTTGCATCACAGTCTCTGTTTTGTTCACGTAATTCTCTGGATTACTCACAGTCTTCTCAAGTGTTTTAATGTACATGTTTGGTTCTGTGTGCCCACTTTGTTTATCACTTGTCCTTCTCATTAGACTATGAGCTCTTTGGGGGCAGGAGTGATGTCTGTCGGTTCACTAAATGGCTACTGAATGAATGAATGAATGAATGAATGAATGACGAACTATGGAGTTTCCAAAATATCACTCAAGGTAAGTACCTATATGACACAGCAGGTGCCCCTCCCCAAATATGCCCTGAATGCATCAGTGAACTTTTGCAGCATCCCTACCATGCCAAGGCAGTATGGCAGGTATTGCTGCAAACATGAGATACACGTGTCCCTTCTAAACAGCCCTGGTGGGCAGGAATCACCCTTTTCACATATGTGAAAACTGAGGCTCACAGAGATTGAGATCTGGAGGCTAGTGGGTCACCGATCGGAAACAGAAGCCTCTCTAGAGCTCTCATTCATTCATCCCAGCCACTGAAAGAGAGTCTAACACGGCTAGAGCTAGAATGTTTGAAATGTTTGAAGAAGAGGCGGCATGGAAAGATTGTCAAGCAGAGATGTTGTGGCCACAAGTCAGGGGGAACCTGTGAATGCTTAGCTTACCACCAGGGAATTCCTACCCCAACAGAGTATAATTGATATATTAGAGTCAAAAATTCAGAGGAACAATAATCTAGCAGCGAAAAGGTCAGGCCTAGGGTACCATCGAAGCTTCCTTCACCTACTAGCTGTGTGGCCTTGAGCAAGTTACATCCCCTCTCTGTACTTCAGCTTTTCCATCACTAAAATGAGGATATTGATCATTAGTCCTCATTTCACAGTGTTGCTGTGAAAATTAAATGTGTTAAGACATGGAAAGTGTTTAAAAGGTGTCAGGCACCTAGTATGTACTCAATAACTGTGCTGCAGTTGTAGTTTTTATTATTATTGGATTTGATTGCTACGGCGGGGGGAGGGGGGGTAGTGCTTGAGTCACTGGAACTATCCACATTAAATAAGAATAACGCAGATGCCCTGCCATCAGCCCTGAGCAGGGAGGAACCAGGCACATCTGGGGAGCTGCAAGGCTTCTTAAGGACCTTGGAACTTTACCCCTCATGCCCATTTTACAGATGGATAGCCCGAGCCTCAGGGAGCAGCAGGGCCCGGGCCAAATTCACCGTTCAATTCCTTTTCCTGACCTGGACCTCTCCCCGCCCCAAAGGGCGACTGCGGTGCTGAAGGCCAGCGCCCTCTGTAGCTCCCTCCCTCCCTCCCGCCAGGGCAGCTGGGCCCCGGCGGGGCCAATGAGGTCTCCGCGCGCCGGCGGGAGGTCCGGCAGGCGGGGCAGCCAGGGGAGGTTATTTTCTGTTGTTTTCCCTTTCTCTCTCCCTTCCCCAGTCCCTCCGCCCCGATTCTAATTAAAAAGAAGATAAAGCCTCACGGAGCCCGCGCCAATCAGCCCGACCAGCTTCCTGGATGCTGGATGCGCGCGAGGCGGCGGGGCGCGGGCCAAGATGAAGATTAAAGCAGGGAGAAAGAGAAAAGCCTCCCAGACGCGGATGAATCAATAACACTTAAAACACACCCGCAGGCAGACAGCGCGCGAGCCCCGCAGCCGCCTCTCCGCCTGCGGTCGCCTCTCGGTCCGCGGTTGCAGCGGGCGGCCGCCTGGTCCGCTCTGCGCGCACCTGCTTGCAGCCGCGGCCGTTCAGCTTGCGAAATGCCCGCTACGGAGACGCGGGGTGGGGAAAGGGGAGGAGTGGTAGTGGCAAAACACAAAGGCTCTGCCACACACACCCCCTCGCCGCAGGCCCCGCAGTCTGCCCCCTCTCCAAAGCCGAGCTGTGGGGAGGTACCCCCTTGGAGTGGGAAAGCAGGTTGTGTGAAACCTGCCAAGGTGGCCCTTTAGCGCCAGAACCTCTATCAATCCCTCAAGCCCCCCACCCCCACCCCTCCGTGCTTCACACGCATTATCTCCTAAGTACAAAGGGTGACTGGCCCTGCAAATGCAGTTCCAAGACGCGTCCTGAGCCGCCCCCTCCCACTTTCCAGCCAGAGCACCGCCCCAGGCCCCACCTCCGTGGAAATGCTGGAGTGCAGCAGGGAGGGCTGCTCCGCAGGCGCGCCGGCGGACTCCGGTGCCCAGTTTTAGGGGGCGGGGTGGCCCGCCTCTCTCTGGCGCTGGCTCTACGAGCTTGTCTCTCTGGGTGTCTAGGGCTATCTCTCGTCCTACCTTTGTGTGTGTTCGTTGGGAATGGGAGGCGCTGTCCCCTTGGCCCGGAAAGGGCTCTGGGAGTATTGAGGGTTCTTGGAAATCGGGTGGTGTCAGGGATCTGAGCAGCGGTTTGTGTTTTTGCCAGCGAAGGTCCCTCCCTCTAGGTACCTGTTCCCCGTTGAAAGGACCGGCCCCGCCTGCCACCCGGGGACTGCCCTGTCTCCAGGAGTGGCTGTGCCCGCGCCTCTGTGTACAGAGTTCCTCTCGGGCTCTTGGGGCTGAGCTCCTTGGGAGCGGCTGTCGTCCTGACTCCCGGCTCCGGTGTTCCTGTGGGACCTGCTGTTCCTATGCCCTATGCTTGGGTCAGAAGTGTCCCTAGGAGAGGCTGACCTTCGCAGCAGCTAGTTCTCCTGAGTCCCCCAAGCCGGACCGTCCCTACCGGTTGTCTCTGTTTCTGGGGGCTTCCAGACTCAGGCATCCTCAGGATGGCCGGACCTCTGCCCAGTGTCTAGAGCTGTGCGCGCCCCTGGGGCGCCCGCCTGCGGGGGGTCTTTGTGCGCCCACAGCTCCAGCACCGCGCCCACCCAGCCTCTCTGAGGGGCCGAAGAAGTTGGTAGCCGGCGGCCGACCCCCTCCCCGGGCCACGCCAACTTTGCCGGGACACGCGTGCAGGGGATGCGAGCGGCCCTTACCCGATCCGGAGGTAGACCATGCCCAGGCTGAGAAAGAGGTGGCCCAGGCAGCGCCGCGCTTTCCGGTTCATAGTCCCCGCTGGCCGCCGGGGCCGCGGGCCGGACTGTGCTGATCCCGCGGGCCGGCCCCGGCGGGGCTATCCACATAGCCCGCCCGGGAGGCGCGGGCCGAGGCGTCCCGGGGGCCGTCTGTCCGTGCGCCCGTCCGCTCGCTCGGCGCCTGAACCTCGCCGGGAGCGCGGGAGCCACGGAGCGGGAGGAGGGAGGGAGGAGCGAGCGCGGCGCGGGGCGACGCCGGGCTGCGCGCGAGCGGCCGGTGCAAGTGTGTGAGGCGCGGGGAGTGCGGGGGCGCTGCTGCCTCCCGCCCCCGCCCCTCCCTCCCTCCCTCCTTTCTCCCGCCCCCTCCCCCGCCCGCCTCCCCGGAGCGCCCGCCCCGCACCCCAGCGCCCGCGGGACAGGGCCGCCAGCTCCAAGCGCGCGCTCACGCCTTGCCCCACGCGCTCCCGCGGCGCCCCCTCCCGGCTCCCGGGCGCGGAGCCGGGCAGGGGGCGGTGGGAGTCCGCTCGACCCCCACGGGTCGCTAACTCGCAAGTTGCGGTTGAGCTGGCGCCCTGCGACTGCCTGCGGGGTTGAGAGGATCAAGGCTCAGTCGAAAACCCCCGCACCCTGGCTTGCCTCCTCGTCCTCCCTGCCCGGCCGAGCGCTCAGAGCTGGGCGGGGTGGGGGGGGGGTGTTAGGTGACACCCGGGTTCCCCCTTTCCCCAGGCTTCCGAGCCCAGCTTCAGAGGAGGGCGCCCCCTTCCGCGGAGCGGGGATAACTGGCTCAGTATATTCCTTCCCCACCGCGGTCTATTCGAGGGGATGCGGCAGGTGGGTGCCCAGGTAGGGCAGCCTCTTTTGGAATGCCGCTTCTAGCGGACAGTCGGAGTCGGGCTGAGGCCAGGATGCCCCGTACGGGACCCAGACGTGGGCCTCGCGAGCCGCCCGAGGGCGCCTGGCGCGACTGGCAATTCAGCGCGCGCTCGCGGCGACCCCTGGTGGGCGCGGCGGGTGCTGTAGCTCAGCATAGCTCCCCGAAACAGGGCGCTCTGAGCATTCTAGCTGACTAGAGGGGCAGATCCCTTCCTATGATGTACACCCCAGTCCACTGAGCTAGCGGCTGTTGGACTCACGTTTCAGTTGAAGAAATTGAGGCTCAGAGACGCGAAGGTGTTTTCCCAAAGTCACCAGCTAGTAAGTGGGAGAGCCAGATTAGAAACAGCCCCCCCACACACACGCGCATTAACCACCACCTCGCCAGGCCTGCCTATCCTTTAGAATTTTTTTTGAATCGCCCCTGAAAACCGCTGTTCATGGCTTCATTCACATCACACAAATGTCTGTGCCAGGGATCATAGTGAGCACAAAGGATATAAGGAAAGAAGGATCCAGGACCTTCTCTCTTGGAGCTAGTGAGGGAGACAAACCAGAGGTAAACAATTATGTAATTTCAGACATCTCAGGGAGGGGTGAAGATAATAAAACAGAGTAGTGAGAGAGACAACATTGGGTGCCCGGGGATTATTTGAGATCTGAGGAGGTGGCATTTGAGTTGAGACCTGAAGGACACAGGATCTGGGGTCCCAGCATTTCAGGAGGGAAGACAGCAATGCAAAAGCTTGGAGGTGGGCATGAGCCCCAGGAGGGGATGTGGGGCTGTGCTCAAGAACGAGAAAGAAAGCCAGTGGGATGGATGGGAGGAGATGGGGGTTCACAGATCCCACCGAGCTATGTAGGGAAGTCAGGGAGCTTAGATTTCACGGGGGAAGTTCAGTGGGAAGACATTGGAGGGATAGGAAGAAGGGTGACTCATCTGATGTGTGTGTTCAAAAGCTCCCCCTTGGCTGCCCCGTGGAGAATCCGGGGAGGTGGGGGGTGAATGGTAGGGCTGGGCAAAGTGGAGCCAGGCAGACCAGAGAGGAGAATACCCCATGGATTCAGGTACAAGATGTTGGTGGTTTTAAAACACAGCCACACACGCCTCCCATTGAGAGGTGGGCTCCCTGTGCTCTCCTTGCTTGAATTCGGGTGGGCTTCTGTGTGGCAGGAGTGATGCTGGAAGGCTTTCAGGCTAGGTCATAAGAGGCAATGCAGCTTCTGCCTTGTTTTCTGGAACACTCCTGCTGGAGCCCTGAAGGAAGGAGTCTGGAGGCTGCCATGATGTGAGGAAGCCCAGTCCACAGTCCCAGTTCAGCACTGGAGTTATCCCAGCCCAGGTGCTGGACGTGGGTGAAGGAGTCTCCAGATGATTCCAATTCCCGGCCTCCACATCATCCCTCCCTTTCAGGCTTCCCAGCTGAGGCACTGTGGACAGGGGCTTCTGCGGTCATCCCCGCAGGGGTTGCCCTGTCTAAATTCCCAAGCCCCATAACTTGTGAGTATAATGAAATGATTGTTTCATGCCACTATTTTTGGGACGGTGCTTGTTACACAGCAATTCTAACTAGAACAACTAAGGTGGAAGTGGGGTGTGGGGAGAAGAGAGGACGATGGGCCTGGGTCACAAGCAGCTCTGACAGGACTTGGAAGGTCCCAACTGAGAGGGGGGAAGGAAAGAGAGAGAGAGAAGAAGGGAACGAACAGTAATCTCTAGGCTGGCTGGAGCTCTCCCGTGGATGGAGGTAGCAATGAATGACAGTGGTGGGGAGAGCCTGCAACAGCCAGGGGCTTGGGAGGGACAGTCACAAAGTCTGTCCTCGCTGTCTTCTTCCTCCTGTACCCCTCCTCCTCTCCCACCCTCAGATGGAGTCAGCACCTAGCTCTGAGCGGTTTTCCTCCAAGCCATCACCCAAACATGTCCTCTCTTTCCTGTATGCATTGCCATCCTCTTCGACCCAAGATTTATTCACGTCACAAATGTGGGGGGACGCTCATGACCAGGACATTGGGGCAAGTGCTGGGCTGTAACAGTGGGTCAAATAAATCCAGGGTCTGCCCTCCTGGAGCAACTCTTCTGAGGGCTGATTTGGTGATCAGTCACATAGGTGGCACTCACTATGTGTCAGGCCCTGTCATCAGCACCCTGACTCATTTAATCCTCTAACAATACCGTGAGGCAGGTGCCATCCTTTTTTGTTAATGTTTTTATTATTAACATAATTATCATCACCTTATAGAATGAGAAGGCGAATCATGGAGGGATTAAATAAAATCCCAAACTCCCACAGCTGTACGTGGCGGAATTGGGGTTTGAACCTACGGAGTTTTGACTTCAGCATCTGCTCTTAATCCTTCAATTATGCCTCCCGTCTAATGGAAAAGAGAGGCGGGGCCACTACCATAGAGAAGGAGGTATTAGGCGTCAAGGCGGGAGATGCGCAGAGGACTGTGGGGACACAGAGAAGAGGGCTCCAAATGGGTGGGTCATGGAAGGCTTCCTGGAGGAGGTGTTCCGAAACTGGGATCCAGAAGGAATGAGTTGGGGTTCACCAGGCAGAGTTTTCAAAGCCAGAGGAAGCAGGGCCCATGGAAGTCTGAGGGGCCTGGTGAATGGAGCATCAGAGGGAATGGGGGTAGGGAGGGTTGCAGAGATGAGACTCACCAGGGAGTCTGGGGACACAGGGCATATTACTAGGTTTGGGCTTTATCATAAAGGGAAGCAGGCTGTCACACGATCAGATTCATGCTTCAGAAGGCTCATGGCAGCTGTTATGGGGAATTGAGAGAAGGGGGCAGCACACGGAGGCAGGAGGTGTCAACAGATATGCAGGGCAGGAAGGCCCAGCCCACACAAGGGTGGTGACAGGTGGCAAGGAGAAAAGTGGACGGATTGGAGCGCTGCCTTGAAAGCAGAATAGACAGCATGATATGTCCCCAAGGACAAGATTCTGTCCTGGAGGCACTGTGGCTGGTGAGGACAACACAGAGATGGGACAGGGAGAAGCAGGTCGGAGGGTGATGTGTCTGTGGTCACTGAAGGGGCGGTGGAATGAGTGTGCTGGCGCTCAGGTGGGTGGATGTGGGCTTTTGAGGGTGACGGTCTCCACAGCGAGAAGTGCGCAGTCCTTCAAACCCAGGCATGGCTGAGATTCGGGGAGGCCGAGAAGGCTGAGTGTAGACAGCCCAGCACAGAGCCCCAACTCAGCACGACTGAAAGAACCAACTGGGGAGGAAGAAGTCAGGAGTGAACAGGAAGTTTCTCAAAGAGCTAGAGAAGGGCCAAAGAGTTTGCAGGATCAGACCTCACAGGGGAAGCAAGGACTGAAAAGGGTCCAAACTCATCAACTCGAGCATCCAAAGATCTTTACAGTCTGGCTCCAAGTCACCTTTTCAGCCTCTAATTTTCCCAAATCCCCTGTGTCCATATCACAAAAAATTAGTGGGTGGCCACTAATATTTACAGAATGGAAATAGACCAGAAAATAACAGAGGGCATTATACATAATAAGGCTCCAATTGTGTGTGTATACTGTGGGTTGTAATAAAAACAAACAAACTTGAGACTGTTACTCCATCCTGTTATTCCTTTTCATATGTCTGGAATGCCTTTCCCCTCTTTTCCACCTGGCCAACGCCTCTCATCCTTCACGGTCCTCCCAAATGTGAACTCACTGAAAAGCCTTCCCTGATTAACTTTGCCTGTGTCCTAGGCACTTGGTCTCTTCCTCTTTCATTCAACCATCCATCAAACATTCACTGAAGATTAAAGTGTGCTGGGTATGGGATCCAGCAGTAAACACAACAGACATGACCCCCTCCTTTGAAGAGAGCACAATTTAATGCATTTTTTTCCTTTGTACTCCATGGCCCTTTAGCTGATCCTGGCAGAGCCCTTCCCACCAGAAGGATGTCTGGGCTCATGTGCCTCCCTTTTCCATTAGAACTTGAGATCCTTGCAGACAGGACCCTCTCTCACCTCTGTATCCCCAGCACCCAGCGTGACTGAGGACCACCATGGCTTGAGAAAAAGACCATAGACTTTGGCGTCAAAAAGGCTTGGGTCTGAATACCAACTCTGCCACTTAATAGCTGCAAAATCCAGGTCAGTTTTTTTTTTTTTTTTTTTAAGAGTTGTTGGGCTTTCTCTGGGGCT